TTCTTGTGGAAACTCTTCTCCTCCTCCTCCTCCTCCTCCTCCTCCTCCTCCTCCGACGACGACGACGACGACTCTCTTCTCCCTCTCTCCTCGTTCTCTTCTCTGACTTTGAGACATTGGGAGACTACATGTATGACGAGCATGGTTTCATACACGATTTTTGGAGACATCGATGCTGCGCTGTGTCCGATTTGTACTTCGACATTTGCGAGCTTCTCATCTGACTGGGTTCATTGCAGTTGACTCACCAAAGATAAAATGTGAGGCAAGCGCTTCAACCTCACCCGCATCGCCAAACACGTCCTTTCTATCCTGGTCTATCTCATCTTTCCTCTTCATATCATGCCGAGCAAGACAAAGTTTTGCGGAAACCAGTTTACCAATGGGGAAAGTAAGCCCGCCTGAAGATAGGTAGGTACCCACGCACGGGTGGTTTGACCTTGACCATCACTGCCTGGTGTAGGACTCTTGTGGTCCTGCGACAGATAACTTTTTTTTTTTTTTTTTAAAGAGAGACATCCCCTTTTTAATTCTGGGAGGGCATACCTTTCTCGGCCTTTTGGCTAAGATCAAGTATGGTATCTGTTCTGATCAGTTTAATATCTGATCCGTGGTCCATCCGACCACGTAAAAAAAAAAAAAAAAAAAAAAAAATTATGGGAGGGCACCAGTCCGGTTGCTTATCCCCGGCAAGCATTTGAAGAAATGCAAGGATCGTGGACAGGAAGAATCAAAATTATCCGAGGCCGCCACCTCAAAACATCAAGGGGAAAAAAAAAAAAAAAAACAGTTCACAAAAACAAAGTGCTGGTACTGGAGATGATGGGAAGTGTGGAGGACAGTTCAATACACATAACGAGTCCTCTGAAAAAAAAAAAAAAAAAAAAAAAAAAGTGTCTGAACCTGGACAGTACCATCGTCTCCGTTCCCTTCTGATCACAAGAGCAGCAGATGTCCAAAACATGAAGGGAGAAAAGTTCCAAAAGACAATTTGGAAAGTGGTCCTACCTTCTTCCCCCGAATACAGCGTACGTCGTACGGGCATTAAAGCTGTATTTTGGGTGTCTTTCTTTCAGTCGAAATACCGCTGTAATGAGTCTAATGACCGTATGTCGTAATTGGGGAAAGAAGGTAGTTAGTGGAAATGATGGAAAGTGTGGAGGACAGTTCAAGGCACACACCGAGCTTCCCTAAATGCAAGACAAAAGGAGTGTGTGAACCTCTAACAGAACCGTCGCCCGCACTCCCTGCTGATCAGAGGAGCAGGACATGTCTGAAAGTGGACAGAGCCGCCGTCGATGATCCGTGTGACTCAGAAGAGAGAGTCAATGTTGATGAGTGCAAAAGTGTTGGTCCTTCTAGCTGCAGCAAATGCCAGCAATCTCTTTTCTCTTTTTTTTTTTTTTTTTTTTTTGAAACACTAATCTATATTCTTCACTCATATAGCTCACTCTACCTGCCTGCCTACCTACATATATGTCCAGTTTTTTTCCAGGGGATGCTCAAGGTTATGGGTTGAGTTTCCAAACAACTTTTCAGCCTATTCTTCTCTAGAATGCGGGGAGCAGTACCCCGACTCCTACTCTTTTTGTCCATCGTCCCTGGGGTCCAAATTTTCGTCTTCGCTGAAAACTGGGACCCATCGTCCCTGTGGCTATGTACTGGGTTCTCCTTTGATAGAAGTTTATGCACTATGGGGGATCGAATACCTGGCTGCTGTCTTTTCACTCCTTTGCCAGCCCAGTTGATCGGATGGGTCGCTCCACTTGCATCTCATTCAACCTGCCTCGATTTCCAAAAGGCAAACAAGTCATGTCGCCTTCTGCAGGAGCGTAGCTTACCACCTACCTTTCAGTAACATGAACTCTGAAAGACTGAAATAGATCAGTACCTTGCACAAAATACAACATGACAATGTCACGATCTACGTATCATGACGCCAATGCTACCACCGACTCGCATATCTCAATTCGTACACCCTTGAGCTGTTGAAACATGGACCTGCGTTCAGCAGCTAAGTGAATCTGCACATCTAGCTCCCCCACAGCTGAGGTTACAGGATGACGCTACCCATTCCAGCATGAGCCCGACGTCCTCCGCCGTGCAAGCATGGACTCGAAACGGCAACCTCGGCCTCAAGAGCCAGGTATCTTAACCACTACAGCCAGGACACCGCGTTCAAACTTCACTGGAAGCAGATGAGTAAAACACTACAATTCTGTCCTTCGGGACATCCGTTAAAATTGGAACGATACAGAGAAAGAAGATTAGCATGGCCCCTGCGCTTTCAAGGATGACACGCATAAATCGAGAAATGG